GCTGTTTGTGCTGTAATTTAAGCTACAATTGTCAGTCAACCGGGTTCACAGAAGCGGGATTAGTAGCCTGGGATAAAAGCCCTGTGTGCTGCGTCCTGCTGTCAGAGATGTTGTTGCCCACGGTGACTGATGTCACTCGATCAGGATGGGATGGTCTTGGAGGTGACCACTTGGCTCAGGGCTAACATATTTGTGACATCATCAGCCTCCTGGTTTGCACATTCCCAGTGCTCCTGACCAGGTACGTTGTCATGTCCGTCATCATTATGTTATACCAGGTAACTGTGAGGCCTAGCAAACTTATTAGTGTTTCAAAAAGCTGATAAGAGATTGAAAATACTGTTCATGTTTCTGTGGGTTGGTGCATTGGGGTATTGGTTAACTCAGGGACAGGACTGTTCGACTTTCACCGACAAGGCCTATGTTTACGGCACCAGGTACCCTGATAGCCTCTGAACCTCTAAATGATACACTGGAGCTCAGTTAAGCAGTTTGCAGATGGACCCTTAATTTGAAGATGAAGAATTTCTCAGATTCCAAGGTGCAGCTGTATCAGGTATCGCTGCGAGCCTAAGCGACTATCCTTAACTTAAATCACTGACTCTGGACATTTGTTATAAAATAATCTTTAGGTTCCCAAATGAAACTTAGGAAAGATTTTAATGAGCCAAACTTAGTAGGTAAATAATGTATTATTAAGGATCTTCTGTAAAAACACAAACAAACATTCCCTCTACTGGATTCCAAGCCTGTTTAAAAGCAGGTGGGAGTGTGGTGATTGTAACAGCTTTGTCTGTTTGAGATGCATCATGGGTAACATTTTACTATAGTTTAAACAGTATGGCCATTTAAAACAGTATTTTTTACAAAGGCAGTATTTCTTAGAAGGCAGAAATGCTCCCTGGAAAATGTTGACAAATAACTCTTCTAAACAACATTCAAACAACACAAAAAAAACTGGTGATATCTGCCGCAGAAGTGGAGATGGGTGTGGCGATGAACCCAGCCTGAGCATAAATGATATATTAACTATTTCTCCTAACATGACTCATGAAGATCATTCAATAGTGGGTATAACTGGCACAAGAGTTACATTTTATTTATATGTCTATTTCTTACTAAAATAGTTGCTTGATTCATTAAATTAATTGTGTCATTAATTGTAATTAATCGTTTAGATCCATAGTAGTTGCCTAGTCTCTGGCCTTTCTAAGGCTGACATACCTTAAAGAACAGCTTTTGTGTGTGATATTAAGAGCTACACAGAAAATAGATAGTTATGTATTTTTTATTAATCAGCAGGCATGTAATGATATATTGTGTAAGGATTAAAGTGCAGTGCAAATGTATGATGATTCAAATATTGGAAATAAAATATGGATAGTAAAGTAGCTCAAATTATTATTAAGTTGCACAACCTCTTATTTTTTCCTAGCTGTAATTGCATTGTTCAGACAGTATAAGGCCGCAGACGTGACCTGCCCTCTTACTTATGAAACTTGCAGAAGTAACACTGTGGAATGGTGAAATGGTTATTAAGAAAAGGCCTATTTGTTATTTACTTTTAATAAATTAAATCTGAAATAAAAGGAATATTTTAGTTAACAAGCCACTATATTTTACTCCAACCATTAAAAATGTTTGTAAATAATTATTGTGGCTTATTAAGAAAATTAAACAAAACTTTCTTTTTTGTTTAACAAATGGAATATTTAAGTTGATAAAGAATGGGAAATAAGTGTTGCATGTTTTGTTTTGGTGTGTGTGTGTGTGTGTGTGTGTGTGTGTGTGCGTACGTATATTTTTTATATATATTATGAGAAGATTGAATTGCCAACCCAATATCGTAAATCAAACTGAATCATGAATTGGGTGTGAAATGCCTATTAGAAAGGTCAAACAACAAATGATGGTTATTATTGACCGATGGACAATTAAGACAATTATAGTACAGCACTCAGAGCCCTTTGAAATAGAAATGTACTGCGGACATGGATGTATTTAAATGTATTTGTCATTACAGCTTTTTACTAAATTGATCACTGCTTTCCATCCCCATGAACCATCCTATTTTTTTTTTATTAAATAATGCATGGTTTAAAGATCTGTACAGCAATAAAAATTAATCATTTCTTCCAAAGCAGTTTGATTACCGTGTGAAGTCTGCATTAGTGTATTCTGTTTTCACCCTGTATAGATTGCCCTCATTCATGAACGCACTTGGTCTCGTGCCTACCGACACCGGAACTGTACATGCTGGGAGTGTTAAAGCCACTCTGGGACAAACACAGGGAGCGCTGGCGCGAGAATGCAAGGAGAGCATTCTATCATTTACTTTAAAAATAGTTTAAGATTTCAGTACATGACAGGGCTCCATGTCAGCAGGGTAGGCAATGCTCCTATAGAAAAATAGTGCGTACATTTTTTATTATACATTTTTTTAAATTACACCTATGCTGCAGTAGAGTTATTTATGTGCACCATCCTAATTTTTGACTTATAATAAACATTTTAATATACAGCGAAATATTTCTTAAATTGCAGTGTTTATTGCACTTTTGCATTAATGGCTCTTAAAATAATGATTTAACATACATGTCTTTAGTTCCTATTAAAACCCCAAAAGCCCCCTTTTAGATTGCTGATGAATAATATAAATATTACCATCAACAGCAATACTTTCTTGACTTTCCTTGCCAAAAGTGTAATTCATTTGATGGTTCGAGGTCTGTTAAAATACGTAAGGTGCATTTGTTGACATGCCACTTTAAGCCCAGCTGTACGGCGGCTAAAGCAAGTTCTAAATCATAAACATTAAACCCGTCACTGCTGTTTTAGTTTTTTTTGGATTGCATACATCTGGAGAGCCATCTAGTGTCACGTAGAAAACCTGCATCCTTTACCCTTCTGGCAGCAGTATTTTTTTGGTATCTCTTCGAAAGGATGCATGCAAAACACTTGACACGACGTCAAGTCAGATTTCATTTGGTCCTGTTTTTAAAGTGAAACTAGGTTTTAGGGAACATAAAGAATGCGTTGCCAAATTTAATAAATTGCAGATATATGTGCTACGTAGTGTTCAAATCTCTGTTGTAGTTTGTGATGAAAACAAGAAAAATCAGAGCTGACTAATGTATATGTGCAGTATTTTTAACAGTACAATTCATAAATGTATTTATAGGCATATAGCAGCGCTGACGCGCGAATTTCAGGTGTTCAGACGAATTTCAGAATATATGCCGGTGTTCAGACGAGTTGAGCTTTTAAGGGTTTTTTGGGGGTCAGTGGTTTTTCAGGGGTTAGGGTTAGGGTTTTAGGGATGTTTGGGGGTTAGGGTTTTAGAGGTTTTTTTGGGGGTTTTTTGGGGGTTAGGGTTATTGTTTTACGGGTGTTTGGGGGCTATTGATTAGCACTACGGTAGCCTTACTCGACAAAGTAGCTCAACTCGTTTCAGATCAGCGACCAATCGGTCATTTAGAGACAGGCATGCATTCTACGGCAGGCAGGGGCGGATTAACGCACAGGCTAGATATGGCTTAAGCCTAGGGGCCCCACGTGTGCCAGCCTGCAAGGGGGCCCCCATTGGCGCGGAGGGGGGCGAGGTTGGGGGGCCCACAGACTACTGTAGCCTAGGGGCCTCTGTGCACCTTAATCCGCCCCTGACGGCAGGGATGCCTTTTTCGGCATAACACCTGAACGTAGGATGGAAGGGCAAAAAAATTCAACTTCACAAACATATAGGAGGGATTAGGCCTAACAAGAAAAATTGACACAGCATAACAAAAAAATAAATAAACAGAGAAAACAAAAAGGCATCACATCCATAATTTTCACCTAATTCTAAATGACCGTCTAACGTTGACTAAAACGTCTGATGTTTTGCTGACTCGGACATCTTGATATCATTTATATTGGCGAGGGAATCTGCAAAGATCTCAGCTAGGCAGAGGAAGGCTCGTTAATAGGAGGCGCTGCCAGATCGGCTGCTTTCGCCTACAGGCGAATCACAGAGTTTGGTCATTGCTGACGTGGCCAGCAAAATATCTCCTTCTGCGCTACTTTGTTTCCCAATAGCGTCCCAGAGCGAATATGATCTTAACCACCTGACAGAGGGATCAGCCCTACAAAGCGGAGTCGAGTTTCCCAAAAGCGTCGCAGCGCAGCACCGTCGGCTGATCAGGTTGCGCTTCCTTTGGAAATATTAATGAGCCTCGTACTTTTCGGAAAATCCCCGACGGCATCCTTATATCCCATAAAATCTGGAAGTGGGTAGTAGCTTAATTCAACCATAAAGATACGTGAATCACTTTTTCTAATCAGGGATGGAAATTTAAGAAGATAACAGTGTTATCTTCTATCTGTTCTATCTGTTTAAAATGTAGAGTTCTTTATATAGTAAACAAACTAAACATAAATACTATATAATGAATGAGATACAATTTCCATTGCTCTCCATGTTAGCAAAACATTACGTGTATCCCAGGTACCGGTGCTCCAACAGTCAGTGTTCGGTACGGTTGGAGACACTGATAACCTACAAAGAAGCACTAACTGCAGAACATTTGGATCAGTTAATTCTTCTGAAAGCAAAAATCATTATAGGACAAATTACAAAACTCTCAAGTATTTTTTTTCTGTACAGTTAAGCAGCTAGCTGGCTTGTTCTGCTTCTTAATAATACTAATAAAAATGAATGTTCCGAGATTCTATTTTCTTTGTATTCCATTAACGGTGGGTTCCCGTGGCCCTATTTGTAAATTTTTCTTCAGTGAAGTTTAAAAAACAGTTTGAATTTAGGTTTACATAATAATCACATTGAATAATTGATAAACTGAACTAAATTGTGATAGAAGACTTCTGTTACACTGAATCTTTCCCTAAATAATTGTAATCAAATTGAATCATCCTGGGGCCAAAGATTTATACTTCAAATTATCATTTCATATGCTGATACAAATCATTTTACTGTTGTTTAAATAAATACATTCCATAAATTCATGTAAAACACTGCAAAAGGGATATTTACAGTTTAATTATCGTACAGTCCAATGTATTATGTCAGCATTTACAGGTACAGTTTTCATTTTTAAAGAAACATTCACAAGTAATTAAGAATGGGGTTCTATAGCAGAATCCCAAAGAGATATTTATACTTACCAAAGGGTCACCAAACAATTTGTTTCAAATTGTTTTGGATTTCCAATGAAAATTGCTACAATGTTTATATTATATACCCTTGATATACAATATTAAAAAAAAAAATTACATTAAGCAATCATACCATTGCGTTGTGATCCTTGCATTGAGATTCCTTTATAACATGTCCCTCCGTTCATGTAATTTTCCATTTCACGCGAGGAGTTTATATACTTTCAGCATAATTAGTAGAGTTCATAAAGTAAGACCTGTAATCAACTATACTAAATTACATAAGATTATTACACTGAATTCATGGTGACACCAAAGCATTCGTGTTACGGTAATTTACCTAACAGTCCATAACTCAAAATCGGTAGTGTTCCATTACAAGGCTATAAAGTAACTTAAAAAGTAAATCAAATATCAAATACTGGCTAATAAATTTAATGTTTTTCCTTCTAGTGAATCTTGACTCCTATTTTGATGTGTTTCAACTTACTCATTTCAATATCAACAAATATGAAACATACCATCAAAGTGTAGTTCGCGAAATGCAATCCCAACAGAAACTCCCTGAACACATTACAAAAAAATGCTGTTCCTTTCTCGAAAATATTACCAAACAGACCAAGCACCTGTTCCTTGAAGTGTAGGGGACCACAGATAGTATTAATAAGCATGTATCAGCTGACTGAGGTGGGGAGGTAAGATCTTTGTGGGATAGCTCAGCATATGCACTGGTTCTCCAGTTGCTCCTGTTCTTCTGTGAGATGCACCGTGGTTCCTTCACTGGGCTGTTTCAGTCGTAGTGGTTTGTTGTTCTTTAGCCTGTAGGCAAGTGTTAAGAAAATGGCATCCACGTGCTGCTTTTCAGCTGGGTCCTTCGCAGAGGTCTCAAAAAGAGGGAAGTTGTACACATCTGCCATGCGCTGGGCCAGTGAGGTGGGAACCTCTCGCCTGTCCTGTAGGTCACACTTGTTTCCCACCAGGATCTGGGGCACAGCGGGAGAGACACACTGGCGTGCGCACTCCTCGATCCATTCCGGCATGTTCTCCAGGGTGGACAGCTTGGTGACGTCATAGACGAAGATCACTGCGTGGACGTTGCGGTAATAGTGCTCCACCATACTTTTTCTGAAGCGCTCCTGCCCTGCTGTGTCCCAGATCTGTAACTGAAAAAGGGGAATATTCTTTGCTTAAAAAAATCATTTTTGATAACTTACTGTTGGTATCTTAGGGGAGAATAATAACGGGTTTCACAGGTTTCTTGATACTAAACCCCTAAAACATCATTTAATTAAAATGGATCAGAACAAATAAAAATATAACATTTAAGTACTATAATTTAAAGTTTTTCAGATAAATGCAAAGACCTTATATTGTAGTATAATGTGAAGTCTGCTGTAGCTTACTCTATAGTCTCTATATGCATGGTTAACCATGACTTTAAGAAGAAGCAAACACTCGTATTCACTTTGACTTATCTACAATGCTACTATACTCTACAACAGTACTATACTAAGGCCCGCTGATAAGGCCGTTATCTTTAGTTTGACATAATTCCTACTACAAAAAATAATTAAGCCATCTATATTACATAATTAATAAAATGCATGCACAAAATTATTTTCTACTTTTCTTAAAAAACAGAAATTCATGACGAGTTCGCACTCGGTGATTCTACCTGTGTAATAATTCATGGAAATATATTTTTGGGTTATTTGTAACAGGGGTATTCAGGAATCACATTTAATTAATACCCATCGGCACATTATTATTATTATTATTATTATTATTATTATTATTATTATTAAGGAAACCAAAAGAGTATTAACGGAATTAAGGAAATCAAATGAGTATTGACGGAATTCAGCCTGTTACCTTGATGCATTCTCCATCTAAGTCCACAGTCCTTTCCCTGAAATCAACTCCTATTGTTGCTTCGGGGTTTTTAAGAAATCTACCACCGCAAAATCTGTAAGTGAGACACGTCTTGCCTACATTGGAATCTCCGATCACGATGATTTTAAATATCTGGATCTGGAGGTTGTCATCGCCCGTAAAACACTCCTTTGTCGGACTCTTCCTGCTGTACACTGTAACAAAGCCATCGTGACTGCTGTCATTTGCCATCGTGACTGTTGTCATTTGCCATCGCTCGATCGGGGAGCTTCTCGGAGCATCGCGATACTATAGCGGAAGGACCTGCTGGCGTTTTGCTGATGCTATACCGCCTGGCTTCCCGTGCGTCTCCGGCTGGTCAACGTCATGGACGTCGTATGAAACGTAGATGCGTATTACTTCAAATGAATCCTTTGTCTTATTAATTTTTTAAATACTTGAGCACCCGCACAATAAAATACCACTTCAATGCATTTCTATTCTCCCAGCTTGTGTGTTTCATAATCGCATTTGAGCGTCGTAAAGGCACGGATTCAGTCAGGCAAGATTTCACCTGGATTAAATGAGTTTCATTAAAACTGAAATGGAATTGTAGGTCTGATTTCAAACAG